TTTAATTCTTTATTAAAATTATTATTATGAAATTATATGGCTAGATATTAGGTGACCATTTCTACATAGATATTTTATAAGTGATAATGAGTAGGTAATACATACTTGTAAACACACATAAATGTTCAAATACACTTTTCTGATACTTTTACACTTATTTAGATTGTTCCCATTTAATTTTTGCTCTTTTATCACTTTTTAAATCAAGTATTTGAATATAGTTTTGTTTAAACATCTGTTCAAGTATTCTATTTTTTAAACAAGGTTATTTGGAAAAATTCATATATTCACGAGAAATTCTTTATCAGATATATGATGCATAATTATTTTATTCATAATTTTAGTTTGTCTTGAATTGTCTTTAAATTTTTAGTATATTTATTCATTTATCGTGTGTGTGTGTGTGTGTGTGTGTGTGTGTGTGTGTGCACGCATTTGGGTGAGAGAGGGAGGCAGGGGCTCAGTTGTGCAAGTCAGGGAGATTTGTGGACCAGTTAGTTCTCTTCTTCTGTCATGTGCATTTCCATTACTGAACTTAGATCTTCGGGCTTGGAGGCAAGTGCCTATATTAGCTGAACTGCTTTGTTTTTCTTTTGTTTGTTGGTTGGATTGTTTTTGTTTTTCTTAATGTTTTCCATTGAGGACCAGAACTGTAATTTTGGTTAATCCAACTTATTCTTATTTTCAAAAGTTCTGCTTTTGATGTCATGTCAGAGTTTCATTGAGCCCAAAGTTCCAAAGAGGAGATTGCATTTGGTGCTGTAAGTGTTGTAGTTTCATCTCACGTATTTAAGCAGGACCTGAGTTTTGGCGTCCCCACAGAATGAATCTCTAGGTTCCAGGTAGGATTTGAAAACTGGGTTGGCTTGATGGGGTAACTCAGAAATATGAAAGCAACCTTTAACTAAACTTCAGTCGGTTCACCAATTCATTCTCTTATCTCATCACTTCCATTTTTGCAAAGCAGCTAGTGTATTAATAGATCTATATATGTGGAGTTTTAATCCCATGCTTCATATATTCGTTCTTATCAATAAGCACATCTGTTCAGCTTTTTCTCTCTGGGTAAGCCGTCTTAAAAAATTGTACTCTCTTACATGTGTCATGACTTCCTTTCTTTTTATCTCTGTGATTATGACATACTACTCCTATTTTAGTAGATTTGGAGCAAATCCAAGCTGTAAGCCTGCATTCAGCCTGCCATGTTTTATTAGATGCTGAGAGATTAATTTTCCACTTTCAGTTATTTGCTCACACATTTCATTTGCTTGTTTGTGTAGGTATAGGCACATGTGCTTGTGGTGCGCATGCGTGTGTGTGCAGTCATTTGTATGCCAGAAGTGACTTTCTGTGTTGCTCCCTATCTTACTGCCTTGACTCAGATCTCATGCGGAACCTCATTTTCATCCATATTTTGAAGCAATGTCTCCTAGAGAACCTGGCACTCATCAATTTGCCTAAGTGGGCTGGCCAGAATCCCCCCGCCACACACATACAGAAACAAAGACACACACACACACACACACACACACACACACACACACACACACACACACACACATCTTCCTGTTTCCATCCACTGACCAGCCCCTAGTCCTCAAATTATAAGCACATGCCAGTGCACCTATCATTTTACATGGGTTCTGAAGTATAAACTTGATCCCCATAATTGCATGGCAAGCCCCTAATTTCTCACTTATAATTCACCTGCTCTTAGCTCTTATCTTAGCTCATAGTGCAGCAAATGTTTTAAGACAATGACTAACTGATAGAGAACTATTACAAGATTTGAAGACATTGCATGACATCACTTTGTCTTTTTCAAGGCCTATGACTGTCATTGCTTATGTAAGACTTGCACAAGAGTCAACACATTAGAAAGAGTTCTGTCATTGATATTTTATCTCCACAAGGCAAACGCTATACAAATACAAATGACTCTTCACCAACACTGAGTTCAAAGCCCCCACTCCCAATTTTACCTTATGGTTTACTTTTTAAATTTGGTACCACTGTATTGGAGGATGTACTTGGATGTGGTACATGCTATAACTGTACTGGTCTGTGCAGCCTGGATATGCACATGCAGAGAACAAAACTATAGGTGTCTTTCTCTACTGCTTCCTTCCTTGACACAAGGTCTCTTACTGAACCTGCTCACAGTTTGAGCCTGGTTGTCTAGTTGAGGGAACTTTAAAGATCTGCCTGTTCATTTCCCTCCCAGTGCTGAGGTTACAAGCACACACAACTTTGCCATGCTTTTTTTTTTAATGTGGCTTCTGGGCATCAGAACTCAGGACCCCATGCCCTCGTGGCTGCAGAGCAAGCGTTCCTACCTCGGAACCCTTTCCACAGCCCTGTTTAGTAGATTTCCACACGAGGACTTTTGCAACCACCTTTATTCTTCCATGTGTGTCACCTTCATTTTCTCTTATACTAGGACTGTGATTCGGGTGAAATGGGGTTAGTTTCATATGAGTAGCAGTAGTCAGTTAGCCCGTAAGAGGCGTGGACCCGGCACGAATGACAATCCAGTAGGACCCTATATACAGCACGGGTATAGACAGGTGATCTCGTCATTGTCTCTGACTTGAGATTTCACGCCTTTTGGAAAGACATGAAATCAATATTTCTTGCATTATATTAAATGGCCCTTATAGAACTTCTTCTAACAGTCAACTATTCATATTACATTTTAGTTGACTTAAAAATTTGAAAAATCATATTAAAAAAACCATAAAACTTCTGTGTTTATTATCCTTTGCTTTGCTTCGCCTAGTTGGAGAGTTACAATGCTAACATGGTGAAGAACTTGGCTGAAACACACATATTCTTCCAATCCCCACTCTAAGAAGGAAATCCTGTTTATTTTCTTCATTCATGATTCAGACTAAAAAAGGAAAGCCTTCTAAATACCATTAGGGAAGCAGTCACTTTTGGAGCACCTTTAATGAAATTTGAAATAAATTACCTTTAGCTGCTTTTATAAGGTTTTGTGACAGTCACCACAATGTTATGTAATGACATGAAAAATGAAGAGAGACTGCTTATGTGCACCCCGTTGCATTGTGGGAGTGCTGCAAAGAAGAGGCACTCAGAAGCAACAAATCAGGTGTGGAGGGGAGTAAATGAGAACAAATAAGGAAAAGCATGAGTGAGGATGTTTTCATGGCGCCATGGATGGTTTGAAAGAAATAACGGGCTAAAATGGAAATTTGTGGCTCGGGATATAGAGTTACATCAGATGGAAGTCTGTAGTGATAATTTGACGTTTAAGTTGACCTTTGGTGAAGAGAAGGTACCAGCCATGTGTAGTGACAGGAGAATCTAGTTCTATGAAAGAAAAGAGATCTTTGACAAGGTTATTTGCTTAAAATAAGCTTAAAGATTGTAAAACACTAAAGTTCTAAAGCAGTGGTTCTCAGCCTTCCTAAAGTTGTGAACCTTTAATACAGTTCTTCAATGTTGTAGTGACCACCTGCCATGAAGTTATCTTCGTTGCTACTTCATAACTGTAATTTTGCTACTGTTAATGAATCATAATGTAAATATTATTTTTGGAGATAAAGGTTTGCTGAAGGGGTCCCGATGTACAGATTGAGAGCCACTGTTCTAAAGTGAGGTTTAGAGGGTGGTATAGGCAGTTGAGAAAAACTGAGGCCTCAATAGGAGCCAGACAATCCAAGTACTTAGTGTTGCCAGGTGGATTATATTTAAATATGATGGTGAGCTTCTTAAGCAGATGAGCTGGGTAAGTGGCTTCATTAAGTGAGCATTGGTAAGGACCCCTCTGATTTATGGAGTCAATTGCATAGATTTAGAAAGCAAGTGTTAAGACCAATTTTGAGGATGATGCTATGAATCGGGTAGAGGTGATGGTTGTGTTGACCAAGCATTGCAGAGCAAACAGGGATGACATTGTTACAATTTAGTAATTAAGCATTTAAGACTGGCTGGTAGATTTCATTTTTGAATAAGAGTGAACTAGTACATCTGATTTCCATACTCTTGAATTAGATACAGGTTAGTAAGTTCTGTGCATATGGGAAGAAGATTTTGAGGGGAAATTAGAGAATTCTAAGTTAGATGCTAGGAGTGGTGTCTTGAGAGGTCTAATGACAAGTTTAGGCTGAAGGCACACATCTCCATTTTCTCAGAAAAGGAAGTGAGATGATGGGAGGCAAAATAGTTCTGAACCTTTAGTACTCAAATTGGAGAGATTATGTATAGGAGAAATAAGCAAAGGTCCCGGCTAATAATAGACACTGATGGAGAGGAAATAGCAGAAAAATATGGTCTCCAGGAGGTGCAGACACACACATGGCTTTAATAGAAAAGCAGAGCAATGACCTATGGGGTAGTTCCAGTGGACTGCTGGGGAGAAGAGCCCAGATGGAATGCTGGCTGTGGGCTGACAAGGAAGAACCTGGCACATGAGCCCTTTCAAACTGTTAATTAAGTTCTGAGAGAGGAGAAGGATGGGGACTTCAAGATACTTTTATCTGCTTGATGTTTTCTTTGTATGCTTATATTTATTGTGTTTATTTATTTTTTAATTCATCAGAGCAGCAGGGTTGTATGCTGGGGAGAGAGAGAGAGAGAGAGAGAGAGAGAGAGAGAGAGAGAGAGAGAGAGAGAGAACTCTCAATAACAAGAACAGTTAAGTGTTGCTTCAACAAGATAAAAGTGATACACACATCTGTGGAGTTAATGGCTCTGGGGAGAATGAGAAGCATTTGATTAGTTTTCTTGAAAGGAGGAAGAAAGAAAGATTGGGAAATGGGATTCTTGCTCAAGGTCAGCCGAGGTGATCGGATATGATCCAGGAGATGCTGGGAAATGTACGATTTGATCAAATACCCAAGGTGATCACCTATGACAGGAGATGAGGTTCTCTCGAAACTGACTTAGTAGGGAAAAAATTTGTTTTAGTCAGATTTTCATCACAGCATCAAGTAAGTGGGGTAATTATAATGGAAAAAGGTTTATTTTGGTCTTACAGTTACGATGATTCCAGTCCATGAACACATGCTTCTAGGCCTATGTTTAGGGAGCACACCAAGACAGGAGTGGTTTATGAAGCCGAATTCTAAATCACCATGAGCCTGGAGGAAAGGAGAGCAAGGAGGGGTCAAGGTCACACAGTCTCCTTCAGCTGCATGTCCTCAGTAACCCAAAGAACCTCCCGCTGAACCCCACCACTTAAATGTTCTAACTAATGCCTCCTGTGGTTATCCTCCTAGGGCCTAATACCTTCACAGGGTCATGTGAGAGACTGTCAGCATCTAAGCTATGACATTTTGTTTCCTGAAGGAAATGTTGAGGAGACCCAGCACTGAGGCCAATTAGATAGGGCTCCATGGCTTGTTACAGTCACTCTAGGAAGAGTCATTGTCAGCATGAGTTAGTTACAGTTGAGATTATTAAAGCACTCGATACACTCAAATTGAAAAAAAAAATAAAACCCATTTTCAAAACAAATAAAAATAGATGACAGTAGTGCCATATTAGTTTTGTGGACATGGCTTTGGTGTACATGTTCTAGTTTCTCCTCTCTATTGGAGTTTTCTGTTGGGAAATGTTTCCCCCTCCAGAGACATAAGGAGCTCCCTTTCACCTAAATATCCAATACTATGAATTGTATTAATGAATGTATATAACAAATATGATTGACGTGCTTTTCTGCTAGATAGATAAGCTTGTTTCCTTCTCCCTTCTCACCCCCTCAACCCCCTTCTGTTCTCCCTCCTTCCTTCCTCCTCCCCCGCTCCTCTCCCTCCTTCTCCTTCTCCGGACTCCCAAGTCAAATAATATCTTGGGAACATAGTCTTACGGACAAGAGGAATAAATAAAGAATATTCATTTCAGTTATCTTAAAATCAAATCCAGTTCGGTAAATATACTGGTCATATAGAACTGTACCTGACAAATATTAGCAAATATTCAATTTGGAATTTTACCAGCTAAATCAAGTGAACTGAGCTCCATAATGTTTTGGTTGTATCTTGAAGGGTCAGGAAGCTAAATGCAGACAGGAGTAGAGAGTCCAGTGTTTGAAATTTTCTGGTTCAATTAAATGGATAGTTTCCTCTAGTGAAACGTTAAACATGAATTCTGCTTATTGGCACAGAGCACTGTAGAATGTAAATATTTAATTCTAAACTTGACCTTCACAGGTCAGATTTTTTTAAGCTGGAAATAAAATGTGGCCTACGATTATTCTTAAGCTAGTATCTCAGCTTTAAATTATGAATACTGGTTGCAAATTTCATTAGCACAATAGTTCTCTTCTCTTATTTAACAAAGACTTTGACTCATCTACTTACATTATCCTATAGAAAGGTAGAAATGTCCATCCGTGTTAAAGTTCAACTGAGTTTTTAACACCATACTCATTTGTCTAAATTCTAGTTTGTTAGAACTCGGAAAGTTACAGCAAATATTTATTACAACAGGGAATCTGTTTTTAAATGTTCATCTTCTGTTAGTAAGGAGTGCTTCATTCCTTAATATTCCTGTACAAATAGTCATATTTGCAAAGACACGCCTGCCGTCAGTCTTGTGAAATTCCAACCGCACAATGCATGAGGTGAAGAAGTGTACTGTGGGAAGACATTGCCTAAAGCAACCTTGACACTGAGTAATGGAACCGGCTTTAGTGATGTTCCTAAAGTAAGCGGTTAGGGATCTAGGGAATCCTGGGGTGATAAGGAAGTGTGTGTGGCTTGTCAAAGTAAGTGTTTCCCAGAGCTCACTAAGCGGACTGACCTCAGGCAAACTTAATGATGAATTAGGGATAGCGGTAATAGTTCCTTTTCCAGCTTCCTTAAAAAGTATGTAGCTTCAGCATATTCTAACCACTAACTGCTACGCCCCCCCTCTCTCTCCCTCCCTCCCTCCCTCCCTCCCTGTCTCTCCCTCTTTCTCTCCCCACTCCTTCCCTTCTTCTCCCTCCCTTGCCCCCTCTCTTACACACACACACACACACACACACACACACACACACACACACACACTTCCTAAACGCAAAATACAACTGTGGACTAAACAGTGTCATCATATAAGATGATGAGTTAATGGATTTTATTTGTTCATTCTTTCATTGATTGATTCATTCAGTTCATTCATTCATTTGTGTGTGTGTGTGTGTGTGTGTGTGTGTGTGTGTGCGCGCGCGCGCGCGCCACATGTGGGTAAATGCTATATTGGTGAAACTATTAAGGCCACTCCACATAGTTAAAAGGGAGGTTTATTTTGTGGGGTAACTCACAAGTGGAGGGATAGGCAACAGGGTCTGGGAAAGGTGTGGCACAGTCCGGCGGTGTTCTCTGGAGAACTCTGCTCAGTCTACCTCTAGTGTCCAGAGTCCAGGAACCAAGAGAGAGGGCGGCCCATCGGATCTCTGGTCTTCAGGGTCCTCTCTTGGCTCCACCTTGTAGGTGTGACAGTTACCGAAGCCTCAATGGGGGTTGGAACTTCCAGATCAAAGCTGGAATGGTTGCCCACTACATCACTATCAGGGTTAGAAGTGAGTATTGGAACCCTTTGAGCTATAGTTACAAGCATTAGTTTGCTACCCTGTGGGGAGAGTTGGGAACTGAACTTAGGTCCTCTGGGAGGACAGAGGTCTCTTGCAACCACTGAGCCATCTCTTCAGCTCTAGTAAAGAGATTTTTTAAAAGACAATTAAAAATTGATAGTCTGCCTCTCTGAAATAGGTTCTGAAGTAGGTTTTAGTCATAGAAAGTAATTTAACAACTCATGAGTTGGTGAGAGTGCAAAATGCAAGTTTCATGTTTTTAGATGCAGTACTTCTGGTTAAATAATTCAACTTTGTTTTCCTCAACATTGTTTCATAGCAACAAATTCCTCCCCCTGACACTTTAGTAACTAATCTGGAATCCTTTAGACACAAGCACATAAACTACAGAGAATTTGTCTGGAATGAATTGCCTTATACAAAACAGGTATGTCTTAAGATTTGCAAGTTCCTCAAAAAGCAGAAATTTTGGAAGCTGCTATTTAGGATTCATAGCTCTCAAAATAAACATATGTGATTTCTAGCTTAAACACTGCACTAAAGGAGAGACTTTGTTCCAGAATAACATGCCTAGAACATTCCTTGGCACACTGTAGTCATTCAGTAGAAAATGGTAACTTCATGATCTTTTCTCTTTGGTCGTTTATTTAAAATATTAAAGGTAGGGGCTGCCTAGTTAACATGTCTCAGTCCTCTTCTCTTTTCAAAGATATTGGTTAAGTACTAGAAATATAAGCTTCTCAAGGTATATCTCATGATATAATTTTTGTTTGTGGACAGATATAATTATTTTTGTTGTTATCTACACCTTAAAATGTATTAGGATTTCTAAATATCAGCTGAAGAGGCATTACAATATATATATAATATTATATATATAATTTTTAAGAAATTAAGTAACAGACCACAGTTCTGCTTCCGGATCTTCAGGAGTATACAGGATGCTTTAGAAGAGAAAACATGTGCCACCTTTAGTTTCACACAAATAAGTAAAGCATGGATCTCAAGCGTAGCCACAGTAGGGCTGGAAAAAAAGTGTGGGTATCTCCCAGTGTCCCTTACCACTGTCATTCACTTTAATCCTGGACATTTCTTATGTGGATTTTGCCTGCCTTTGAAGACAATTTTTCTTTTTGAGTAAGATGTGTTATGTTTCCATGTAAGCCCTGGTGTGTGTTACGGTTGTTTTGAGAAACGGGCATGCAAATCCTTGAATCCTCTGGATTATATGATGCTTAAGAGTGTCTCAGCTCTTTTCAGCTGACTCCTTGCTAAAATGGAACAGCCGGTGGAATCAAGGAAGCTGTTAAGAGTCGGTATCACTTCCACACCTTGCTTAAAAGTGTGGGCATCAAAGAACCATTTAAAAACCCACTAAAGATCCAGAGCTCCAGGCTAGGTTCTCATTCCTGAGACTTTTAAGCTGTCCTTAAATCCCATGAGCAGTTGCAATATTGTTCTTCTGGTCTGAGGTAATCATCACCTTTTCTTCTCCCCACTTTTCATCCTCATGGGATTAAATGGGCCCTGATTACCAATAAAGAAGCCCCTTTGTGGGGGTAATGATGCACCTTAGAACCTCTTCAGGGATTTCATCATTTTGAGCACATTTCACCTTTTGTGGAAAGGCTAAGCATGCCTTGCCACAGGGAGAAATAGGTGTCCTTAACTCCCCTACATACAGGATCATAAAGTGAAAAGAATAAAAATATTAATTAATGTTGCTTTGTGAATGGAAGCCTTGGACAAAGAAAACCAATCATCTATATGAAATTGATTGGCATAATAAATTCGGTTCAAGCTTAACCATAAAAGGAAACTAATAAAACATCATTAATATGGAAAGAAATTTTAAAGAAATTAGGAAACCATAAATAAGTGTCTGGCTGCTTACATACTTTATTTCACAGGATCACATTAAAATTTTATAGCTTCCTCATGTTTCACCTGAGGAAATGAACCCTAAAGATCATGCACACAGTAAATATGGTGGCTAAATTTACAAAACAAGTCCGTCTATCTACGCTGAACACGTTCTTCCTGTTGTGTTATGCTGTGAGCATGGGCTTTCTCAAAATATGATATGCTAGAAAACCCAGATCCTAGACAGATACTGTATTAAGCATGTGTCTTTGGGTAGGCAATGTGTATTTTTAAGTAACATGCACACATAACTGAGAAACGTGAGACTTCACGGAGTGCAGGTTGTAAGAAAAACTTGAGAATGAAGAGTGCTTTGAAGTAGACCTTGCTATATAAGAATGAATACTCCTAATATAGTGAGTGCTTAGATGTTTAGTGTTGTTACCAACGCTGTTAGCTATAATCATCCTTAGCACATACCATATGTGAATTACTGAGTGTTTCATTTGACCTGCTGTTTCTTGCAATAAAGAACACAAAATCTTACTTTTTTCCAAAAAAAAAAAAAATGTAGTTGAAATTTGTGATAGAAGGAAAGAGAGGCTGGGCCGTGGTGGTGCACGCCTTTAATCCCAGCACTCGGGAGGCAGAGGCAGACGGATCTCTGTGAGTTTGAGACCAGCCTAGTCTCCAAAGCGAGTTCCAGGAAAGGTGCAAAGCTACACAGAGAAACCCTGTCTCGAAAAAAACCAAAAAAAAAAAAAAAAAAAAAGGGAGGAGAAAGGGGAAATAAAATTTCAATTCTTTTGGATATCAGTGCTGTTGTTGAAAATCAGAAAATCACATGTACAGCCTAAACAGTGTGTTTAATAAATGCCAAACTGCATTATAAAGCTTTTATAGGTGCTGGTGATGTTGGCTGCAGCGGAGTACTTACCTATCTGCACATACCTGCAAGATCCTGGCTTCAGTCACTAGCACCACAACACTTAATTAATTAAACAATTGTAGTTTTGAACTAGCATAGGGGTAGATAATTAAATAGATAGAGGAAAAGGGCATCAGTTTTATCCTATGCCAAAGTGATGGAGCTTTGAATAAATGATGCAGGATCAATTAGATATGAAAAATTAGAATTTTGCCACCTACCTCACACTATACTGAATAAATAATTCCAGATTCATAGTTGTCCCAAATGTGAATAAAAATTTTAGAAAATAATGTAGAATGACATTTTCATGACCCTAAGTTAAGTGTCTTTGTAAAGAATATACCAGTAACAACAACCTTGAAAAAAAAACAAACCTCAAATATCATTAGTATAAAAAAAAACTTTGTTCATCAGAAATCACTAATGAATGAATGGTTTCTCATTCACTAGGTTGTGGGCATTCTAAGAGAATGGCATCAACTACCTGGTAACAACAACCTGGAAACTCAAGTGCTTTTATTAAGTACAGAACAGGGAAAGGTGTAGGCGAAAGTTTTTCTCCTGCCTTCCTGTTCCCAAGAACCCAGCAGTCATTTCCCAAATAATTGACTCAGAGGCTTAATATTAATTCCAGTATATGTCTGTGATTTACATATCTATGGGAACAGAATGAAAAGAACACTTATCCAGAATACTTTTATAATTCTCACAAATAATAGCACCAAAGATGGCTAAAAGGAATGAATAAAGAGCTTTTAGTAGCTGCCTCTACAAACAGCTAAAGACATTAAACCACAATGAAATATTATTACATACATATTAAAGTGGCTGAAAATTTAAAAACAACTAATATTTGTTGGCAAAGACACAGAGCAAGGGAATTCATATGCAACCTTCAGAAGTGTAAATTGATACATTTATTTTGGCCTTCACTGGGAAGCTAATTATGTGATTAATTCATGAGCCTCAATTCTTTTTCTTATTATGTACCTCCCCAAATGCATACTGAATACACATAGACTAGAGAGATTGCAGTAGTTTGCAGAATGGAAAACCAGCAGCTTTCATATATGGTTCATTTTCACAAACACAAGGTTGAGAAAAGAAACCCAATACTGTGGATACATACAGCAGCATACTACCACTGTAAACTCAAAGCAAAGTAAAAGTTGAATTAAAGAACTCAGAATAATGTTAGCAGCATTTACCAGAGAATTATAATTAAAAAGCAAGATAAAGAAGGCTTCTAGAGTGTGCTTAGTGTTTGGGATTACAGAAGTTCAGTTTACAAAAGTCCACTCAAACTGTGTGGTCATGATCTAGTCACCTTCTAATGAAATATTATATGTTCATTAAAAATGTTAAAATTATGCTATTGATATCACAATCAGTAGTAAATAATGTCAGCATCGGTTGTTCCTTAGGCTACCAAAAAGACGTTACTAAAAATAAGTTTTTTAAAACCTATTACATGTTTTAATTTCAAGAGAAATTTCTAAATACCCATTTGTGTGTGTGTGTGTGTGTGTGTGTGTGTGTGTGTGTGTTTACAGCTGTGTGTGGAGGCACATGGATATGTGCTCTTGAGCGCAGAGACAGGAATTGACACTGCTGCTGTGTGCCCTGTCTATTGAGACAGGGTCTCTTACTTGAACCCAGAGCTTATCGATTCCCATCTCTGTCTCCGAAGCACGAGGGTTACAGGCAGTCGCCATACCTGGCCTGCATTTATGTGGGTCCTGTGGGTTCAAACTGGTCCTCATGTTTGTGTTCCCAGTGCTTACCCACGAAGCCAGCTCCCAAGCAGTTGGTTGCACATTTTTCAAAGACGGAAAGCTTGTTTTTGAAATTATAACCAATATAAGGGAAATAATTCATAAACATTTGGTATTTACTTAGGAATACTATATATGAATGAATACACTTTGCTGTTTGTTACGAGCCGAGGGAACACAGTTAAGAAATAACTTAATGTGAAAATGGAAAGCATGCTCC